TCTTTAGTATTAAAAATTTTGCTGATTTGCCCTTAACAATCACATGATTTTTTTCCTAACCCGCTTCGACTTTAGCAATCAACAAGGGACCAATCACAATGGAATGGCACATCCGTGGTTTTCAAAAAAAGGGGTGCCCCATTAAACCCATCAAGCAACCCCTTCTGTATGGGGCACTCACTTCTTTGGGTATGTCATTGGTTGCCCCGGGTATGCTTGGTATGTCTTTGGTATTATTGGTAGTCTTTGCTTATCATTGTAGCCCTTGTATTCTTTGGTTTTCATTGGAGTCATTGGTGTCTTTGGTATTTCTTTGCATTTTTTGGAGTCATTGGTATGTCTTTGGTCATTGGTATGTTTTTGGATGCCCATTGGTTCTTTTGGTTTCATTGGTAGTTTGGTTTGGTTTTCTTTGGTATGCATTGGTGTTTGGTAGTCATTGGTTGATTGGTGGTATTGGTATGTCTTTTGATGTTTGGTTGCAGGTATGTCTTTGGTATGCATTGTATGCCTTTGGGTATGTCATTGGAAAATGGCATGGTATGCATGGTTTATTGTAGTCTTGGGGATGCATTGTGTTCATTTTTTCCCCCCAACCCCCCTTTTTTGTTCCCTCTTCTTTTTTCTTTATTTTGTTTATTTTTACAAATGTTATAAAAATCTAATAAAGATAATTGATAATCCAAAAAAAAAAAACCTAAGGATAAGAAAGGCTCCTTCAAAAAATTCTCCCTCCGCAAAAAGGAAAAAATTAAAGGGCATCTTCATTCCTACTTTGTGAATAGTACCAAACATTGACAACAATAGACAGTATCAAACAAAAATGCGTAAAGTGAAATGATTTTGTAAAATCATAACAAAAACAAGAAAGGGAAAAATGACAAAAACAAGCATTAGAGAGGCGGAATAAAACCTGTCATGAGTCAACATCAGAGAGGACGATGACTAGTCAGACCGGTTGTGTTTAGACAAGACTGGTAAGGTTATTAGGGTAACTGAGTGTTACAGATGAGGGGAGTTTCCAAGGAGACTTGACAAACGCGTAGACCAACACACCGGCAAGTTGGTAAACACTGCCGTCATTGTAACTGACTCACCGAGCATGGTGAGAAAGGTGATGACCAGCATGCTCCATGCAGAGTGGCAAGCATTGCTTCAGAGGTCCCAGGTAGTTAGAATCCTATGAATATTTTCTCCAGGTCATGCCAGTGCGTTGGGAAATGAGCAGGCAGATAGAACGGATGGCTCTGCACCACTTGGTGGTGAGTTGATGTATGATGAGATAGATATTGCGAGGGCCAGTGAGACGACAAAACCACGAAACTGGGCTACAATTTGGTATCAGTGAGACGACAAAACCACGACACTGGACTACAACCTGGTATCAAAGAGACGACAAAACCACGACACTGGACTACAACCTGGTATCAGTGAGACGATATAACCACATGTTCATTGCCCCTGAAACCAAACAGTCGCTTAGTGTCCGCATCACTTCATATGTAAATCTCGCAGCGTGTAGCAGCTGATTCATCAATTCTGTGTTTATTCAGTTTTCTGCCTAGGGTTCCTGCCTAGGATTCCTGTCTAGGGCTCCTGCCTAGAGCTCCTGTCTGGGGCTCCTGCCTAGAGCTCCTGCCTAGAGCTTCTGCTGAGGGCTCCTGTCTAGGGCTCCTGTCTAGGGCTCCTGTCTAGAGCTCCTGCCTAGAGCTTCTGCCTAGAGCTCCTGCCTAGAGCTTCTGCTGAGGGCTCCTGTCTAAGGCTCCTGTTTAGGGCTCCTGCCTAGAGCTCCTGCCTAGAGCTTCTGCTGAGGGCTCCTGTCTAAGGCTCCTGTTTAGGGCTCGTGTCTGGGGCTCCAGCCTAGAGCTTCTGCCTAGAGCTTCTGCTGAGGGCTCCTGTCTAGGGCTCCTGCCTAGAGCTCCTGCTTAGAGCTTCTGCTGAGGGCTCCTGCCTAGAGCTTCTGCCTAGAGCTCCTGCCTAGAGCTTCTGCTGGGGGCTCCTGTCTAGGGCTCCTGCCGAGGGCTCAAGCCTATGGCTCCTGCCTAAACTCCTTCCATTTGATTGTCTGATAGTAGCTGCACATGCATAATCATCAGCTGACTGGCAAATTTCTCAATGAAGAGAATTCAGTCTTTCAGACTGTTCAATTGCTCGTTCATACTCCATATTAACCTTACCCGCAAGCTTAGAGGCTGGTTCATTTCCTTTTATATTTTCATCTGAATGCCTATGACACTATGACACACACACACACACACACACACACACACACACACACACAAAAAATGTGTCAGCTGCTAGCGCCTTAGTAGCTCCAGCTACCCTCTTAGGTCCAGGCCATCTCTATCTTACTGAGCATACTCATTGAGTCACTGAGAAAGCATGTCCGAGTGAAGGTCTTTGTCTCTCCGGTCAAGTCGTTAACGTTGATACTGCCATTACCTCCAAAGACAGACTATCTGTAGTCAAGACAAAAGCGCAGACTTTACCTTCACATCAGCCCTTCCAACTTCAGCCGTAAAGGTCCATGAGCTTCTCCCGCGTCCAGCGACAGACCCATCTGTGTACGTGACAAGCCTGGACGTCTGCCTCCACACCTTGATGGCAGTTGCGTTAAATATCAAATTATGGCAGACAGAAAATCAATCAGACAAGAGCAAGTTATTTTTCCACACCTCAAAACAGGACACACTCGACTTCCAGCCACATGTGCACACAATTTAAAATCGATGAATTAGCTATGTGCACTAGTGGATTGGCACCTGAGACAACAGATCACGTCCTTCAAGACTGTCCCAATTACAACATATCAAGACAAAACTTTTGGCCAAGAAAAACATCGATGCAAGCCAAAGTTTACGGGTCGCTGAGTGAATTACAAAAGACAGTGAAGTTCATACTATAGACAACACTGCAAGTATAGATAATCTATCTCAAGCAAACGAAAGAAAAAGAAGGCAGATGTCATAGATTTTAGGAATAATTAATTTGACATTTTAGAAGTAACATTTCTTGCATGACGGAAACGTCCTCAGGAATGGTCGGTTGGTTAGCTGTAATTGATCCCACAGTATGGATGAATGACTAATGTAATGGACGGGTAGGTTTTCCTATAACTGGTCCCAAGGTATGGATGGATGATTAATGAAATGGACAGTTACGTTAGCCTGTAAGTGGTCCCAAGGTATGGATGGATGATTAATGTAATGGACGGGTAGGTTATCCTATAACTGGTCCTATGGTATTGATGGATGATTAATGTAATGGGCGGGTACGTTAGCCTGTAAGTGGTCCCAAGATATGGATGAATCACTAACGAAATCAACGGGAAGGTAATGTTGTAACCGGTCCCACAGTATGGATGGATACATAATGAAGTCGACGAGTAGGTTAGCCTGTAACTGGCCCCAAACTGTGGCGACTGAGATAAGAGAAGAAGTCCTCAAAATTGTAGCTGTAGTGAAGTTGATAAACCTGGTACAAAACTCAAGCTCTGCAGCAAAAGCGAACTCCAGAAGTGAAAGAACAGCCATCACTTTTTGCTGGAGTGCAAAACCGGTAAATGCAAAGAAGAAGTAGAAGCAGCAGAAGAGGATAAAAATGTCCGGATGGCAACAACAAGAACAATTAGAAGTAAAATAAATATATTAACGAAATACTTGTATTTTGACTTTTACACGTACTTAAGGAAAGCTCATCATCATCAATCAGTAAGTCCTTTACAGAACGTCGCTCTCTTCACGGCACGTCTGAAAGTATCTCTTTCTCTAGCCAGCTCTCCAGCCCTATGTGCTTTCAATGCCAATGCTTCTTCAATTTGTTGTATCTATCTTCGTGGTGGTCGACCCCGGCCTCGCCTTCCACAAACTGCACCTTCCATCACCGTCTTTTCCAAGCCAGCATGACGCTTGGTGTGGCCAAAATACTTCAACTTTCGGCACAGAATGCTGTTTATGAGCCAGTTCTCCTTGATGTTCAGCTCGTTCAGAATGTCGATGTTTTTTCTCTTCCTGGTCCATGGTATTCTAAGAATTTTTCTATAACATTTCGATTCAAAAACTCTAATAAAAGGGGCTACATGATCCATTTACACAATTATTTTATGGACTCATGCACAGATCTCAGAATACCACGGACACAGAAAAGAGAAAAAGCTAGAATTTTAAAAGATCTGAGCATCGTGGAAGATTGGCTAGTAAACATCCTTCTGTCTCGGAAGCTGAAATATTTTGGTCATTTCAAACGCATGCTGGACTGGGGAGCCTGCGTGGTCTCGAGGCATAGTGGCCACCTCGAGTGCTAGAGGTCCGAGAGCAATCCCCGGTAAGGGCTGGATTTTTTCACGTTGACTTCTAGTAATTCCCTCTGGTCTCTGGGTAGTGAGATCGGACGCCCGTGTGCATTGCTAGGCACGTAAAATATCCCTTGGCAGCTGGAAATTGAAAAAAGTAGCCTAACGGCGCTGCCCGGGCAAAATTTGGAGTTAAAAATCTACCCAAAGTATTTCAGGATCCTAGCCGGTGCTACAGAGCATGTGCACTGTGCTAAGCTTCTTCGGACTCAGACTTGAGTTAAAAGAAGAACGGAGCACTTATGGGCTACTACCCGTGTGCCATGATTTTGATCCATTGTTCATAACCTCAAACCTCAAAGCGCATGGCGGATTCGAAAAAAAAAATGTATAGAAGGTGTGGTGCAAGGAAGGAGGAGCAGGGGCCGACCAACACTAAGATGGGCATATGATTTAACTGACTGTTTAAATATGAAAGTACGCGAAGTGGGAGAGCTAACGAAGACCTAGTTTCTTTCCGGAAGACCGTACTGAGAGCGACTTCTGCAAAGGACCTGCTACATGATGATAGTTTCCCCATGGTAACGATGACAATTTTTTTTTGAAACTTCTAGGGGTGAAGTCCAACAAGGTGTCGGATACTGCAGGAATTGGCCTGGCCTTTGTCTCTAACATCATCCTTGCTGTCAGAAACATCACCCTGAAGAAGATGCAGCAGGAATCTAACACTGACTCTTTGTCGTTAGCTCTAAAGCCTGGGCCACATATCGCATTCGTCATCTACCTGCAGGGTCTGCTCGTGGCAGGGATGTACCTTCTCGACACACAGGGGTTAACAGTCAAAGAATACCCAAAGCTGGTAACTTTGCTAATGGCGTCTGGTGTATTCCATGTGGCCTACTCTTACATTTCTACAAACATCGTCCTGGGGGTAAGTGAGAGATAACTGCTTGCAGATAATCATGTCTTATATAAATAATCCTCAATGAACTGTTTAAATCTCATCGCTTAGTCTCCCTTGCCTCTCTTTTCCCTTCAACTTTCCCACTGCTGAGACGCACAACAGTTTTCCATTCTAAGGACGTCTACAAACAACGTTGACTGCCTTCTCCTGGTGCGGGTCTGCTGTTCTCTTAGTAATTGTAATTTTGTTTCAAGACATACATTGTTGATTTTTGTTTGTCTTTTTTTTTGTCCACAGTGTTCTCACCAGTTCTCTCTCAAATCATTTTTGCGCAGTGACCACAAAATTGTTCCCTTCTCGGCTGAATATCGCTTACAATCTAGAAAATAGAAATAAACTTAATTGTATGTCTGTGTGAGTGTGTCTGTGAATGTGATTTAGAGGGTGTCGGTGGGTGCCATATAGGTGTTTGGGGCTCTAAGTTTCTAAGCCCATAGTAACAAGGAAAGGACTCTTTTCCACGCCTTTAATCAACTCAACGGCCCTCGATTAGTGATGTGGTCAACATCACACAGGTCGCCTTTACTCCCAAGGATTTAACCTCAAACCTATTTAAGACTGGGTAGTCCTGGGTAGTCCTGGGTAGTCCTGGGTAGTCCTGGGTAGTCCTGGGTAGTCCTGGGTAGTCCTGGGTAGTCCTGGGTAGTCCTGGGTAGTCCTGGGTAGTCCTGGGTAGTCCTGGGTAGTCCTGGGTAGTCCTGGGTAGTCCTGGGTAGTCCTGGGTAGTCCTGGGTAGTCCTGGGTAGTCCTGGGTAGTCCTGGGTAGTCTTAGGAGCCGAGGTCTTTTCTATTCTGGAAGAAGCCTTGCTCCATCAGGCTCTGAACCCACAACCTTCGGATTCGCAGGTAATGGTTCCGTCGCTAGACCATGGCGGCTCCTTAACACCAGTGGTTTTCCCCAGCACAGATTGTGCTTCCCAAAACCAAGTGTGCTCCGCAACACCAAGTGTGGTCCCAATACCAATGGTGTTCCGCATCGGTCCCTTTATTCTCTGGCTTCCTTCTTCATCACTTTCCTGTGCCTCATTAGTTTAACACCTCTATGTTCCAGAGCAAGAGCATCTAGTTACACATGTTTTGTTCTCAGTTTTTTAATCAGTTTTTTTAAATGTGTTTAATTTGTTTAATTTTTATTTTTAAACTGTATCTTATCCAACACTAACATCATTTCCTCTTTTGATCCAATTGATATTGTTTAGGCCTCTTCTACAGCTTCACAATCTGATGCTGCCATTTATATTAAATCCTGTTTCTTTTGCTGGCAGCCAATTAAAGAATGTCTGTAATTTATTAACAATTAGTTTAGCTGTTCTCCATGTTTCAATTTAACGGCCCCTTTCGCCCACGTCCCGAGATTTATTAGCTATATATACAGTGCCAAACCGACATTTTAGTAACCAGTCGGCACTCGGTGGCTGATGTAGTTAACATCACGCCAGCCGACTGTACTTTAAAGGTCTCTACCTAGCACCGATTTTAGGATGTTTCCGTTTATAGGATAAATAAATACACTTACAATTACCGGAACACTTTTCATTTGTCAGTAAATCCATAGCTGACACTGTCCTTTAGGTGATGAATGTCGTCAGCCACTCAATCGCCAACATCTTCAAGAGGCTTCTCGTAGTGCTCCTGCTGTCTGCTCTAGGAACTCGACAGCTGTCAACGAGCAACTACCTGGGGCTAGGTATAGCAGTGATTGGGCTTCTCGTCTACACACACGGGAAGATCGGCGCAGACCAAAAATCGTATGTCGAAGGTGAGCCACATTTATATGTGCTGCTGTTGTTGTTGATGTTGTTGTAGTTCTTGTTGTTGTTGTTGTTGTTGTTGTTGTTGTTGTTGTTGTTGTTCTTCTTCTTCTTCTTCTTCTTCTTCTTCTTCTTCTTCTTCTTCTTCTTCTTCTTCTTCTTCTTCTTCTTCTTCTTCTTCTTCTTCTTCTCTTCTTCTTCTTCTTCTTCTTCTTTCTTCTTCTTCTTCTTCTTCTCTCTTTCTTCTTCTTCTTCTTCTTCTTCTTCTTCTTTCTTCTTCTTCTTCTTCTTCTTCTCTTCTTCTTCTTGCTTCTTCTTCTTCTTTCTGCTTCTTCTTCTTTTCTTCTTCTTCTTCTTCTTCTTCTTCTTCTTCTTCTTCTTCTTCTTCTTCTTCTTCTTCTTCTTTCTTCTTTCTTCTTCTTCTTCTTCTTTCTTCTTCTTTCTTCTTTCTTCTTCTTCTTCTTCTTCTTCTTCTTCTTCTTCTTCTTCTTCTTCTTCTTCTTCTTCTTCTTCTTCTTCTTGTTTTTCTTCTTTTCTTTTTCTTCTTCTTTTCCTCTTCTACTTCTGAGTTGGTGCTACAGATAAAGAGAACATTATAATTGCATATCAATCTTTGATTTCACCGGTTTCCCAACACTTACAAAGGATACTAGAGAACAAGGAGCATGAGATGTGGACTGATTTTAAAAAAATGACATGACCTGAAAGTATGCTGAGATTACAGATCCTCATGAGGCAGTTTCGATTTTGAGGTAGGCGATGTTGGCGAGAAGAGAGAGTATTCAACTTTTTTTTCGGAGAGAAGAAGCGTTCCTCAGACAGGACATCAAAGGAGAAGAGGCAGAACGAGTTTTCGATGGGTTGCAGTCAAATAATTTAGGCGCGAAAACTAGAAGAAATAAGCGGAAACGGTGAATTTTGCTACCGCGGAAGAAGGACTGCGAAGAAGGTTTCCCCCGAGAAAAGGTAGAGACTTAGAAAGTAATCCAACAAAAGAAGAATCTATAGAGATCGGGCACTATAGGCCAAACTGGAGGAGAAAAGAGCCAACAACCCAGAAGAGCAGGACATTCAATATAGCAAAAAATTATCTGCTGCAAGAGCCACCAACACAGGCACAAAGCCAAAGACTGTCGATCAAGAATCAGACCTGCTACCACATCTGTCGTCTGTTAAAGATCTGGTCGACCAGACAGACCAAATATCCAGATGATGTCAAGGTAGAAAGACAACAAACAGGAGCTGCGATAACAGAAGACGGGAGCAGACAGAAAGCTAGAACAATATAACACGATTGGGAAACGAGAATCCCACTCCGTAAACAGAGCTGATCAGAGTGGGAAGAAAATCTGAGCTGCTAACAATGACATTTAAGTGCAATAGAATAGAATTAGAACCCCTAAAGAAACTAGACATTTTCAACAGAATAGAAACTTCCAAAAACATAGAAGAGTTTGTTACAAAATAACACTAAGTTTATTCAGATATCGAAGTTCGTGTACCGTTACAGTGGGCAGACAGAAGTCAGTCTTTTAAATGTTTTCAATTGTATAAGACACAACGTTAAGTTTACACACCGGTTTTTTTTTTCAAGTCAATAAGACACAACGTTGAGTTTGCACACCAAACCACAAGTTTACACGCTGTTACAGGAGATCTACACAGAGTTATAGGAAGAGTTGATATTTAAAATGAGAGAATTAGAACCGAGTCATTCACTTTTCATTGGCAGAGACATTTTGTCAGATTTGAATTAGGAAAAAAAAATTAAAAAATTTTGACACTTTCAACCCGCCACTGGGGCATGGCTTTATTTGCGACCTTTGATTGTGGTTTTGGAGTCGCTCTTTTTGTGTGACGTAGGATCACGTCTGGTTGAGACTTTTTCGTGTTTCTGTTATAACTGCTGCATTGGGGGCGGTTTTTTTCTAATAGTCCTGAGAAGGACTCTTAGATATTTCCTATGTCGGCCTGGAGCGGGTTAATTTGCAGATCAATGCTTTTAAGCAGAGACTTTGTACTCAAGTTTGGTGCCCGTTCGCCTTGATTTGAAGAAACTGGGATGTGGAGAGGCATACGTGGAACTTGAAGATGACATACACATTGCATTATTGATTAAAGCTAAGAGAACAGTTGCAGTGGAGCCATGGTCAGTGAATAATAGTCGGTTTGAACAGAAGCCTATACTTCAGACAAGGACAAACAGTCAGGAAACTAAAACTAGATGGAGATATACAAGAAGAGCCAGGACTTTTGGTTGCAAATGGCATTGTCAAGTTGGGAAAACGAAAACTAAATTCACTGTATTAATTACCCATAAAAATAAAGAAATGGTGTTTTATAAGAAGCACTAAAGAAACAAAGAAGACAGTCGGAAATGAACCAGTTAAAGAGAAGCAACAAGGTCAGCAACAGCACAGAGCATTTCGAGTTGCAGAATCTCAACAACAAAACCAACAGCAAAACACAAGACATCAGAACAGAAGCTGTCGTCATGCAGTCCAAGAACAAGATAGCAGATGCCATGCTACAAGTGCCTGTCGAAGAATTCAAGAACAAAACAAACAAAAAAATGCTAGACGAGAAATACTTACCCTTCACACAAATGAAGAAGAAACCTATGCGACAGAAGACAGTTTAAGCCAACGCTTGATGACAGGGATATACTCTACAAAAGAAACCAAGAGATATACCGTTATCGACAACATGCAGACAAATACAAACTGGTGGTGTCCAGGTAGTCGAAACCAGTTGCTCTCTAAGAGACAGACTAGTAATGGTGCACCACGCAATGGGTGTATAATAGCTTCAATCAATCAAAGAAGATATAATGACAGATCCAAACAAATGAACAGAGCAAACAACGTGCTATAAGGTATTCTCATGAGGAGCTTCATCATGCACATCAGAGAAGAAACAATACAATTTGATGATGGGATACATCTTAGAGACAATCCTGTTAACAGGCAATCTTACATTCTCAAGAGGAGATGTATTCATGCAAACAGTAGACAATTTCTGCATATTCGTGATGAGAGAAAACAAGACATTCTGAAACACTATAAGTTAAATCTCCCACCAAAAGTCAACACTGGAGAGATCTGTGGTGGAAAACCCTGATGTTTTTGCCTTAAACGACAAAGAGTTAGAAAGAATAGAAACTATACAGGTGGAAATGTATACAGGAGATTATGAACCATATTGAATTCCATTGAAGAACAGAGAAATAGTGGAAAATGCGATAGAAAACATGCTGAGACAGGAATAATCCAAAGATCCAGATCACTTTGGTCATCACCCGTAGATATTTTCACCAAGTAAAATGGCTCTCACATATTTTATTGTGACTATCGAACACAGAACAAGTTAACAAAGAACACTGCATTCCCACTGTCAGTTATAGATGACATTTTGTGACTGTTGAACAAATCAACATATTTGACAAACGTTAGATGTAATATCAGGTTTCTAGTGTATTCAAGTGTCACCAGATGCAAGAGTAAAGAGCGCGTTTTCCCCATACATCGACTCATTCGAGTAGCTATGAATGCCATTTGCGTTAAGGGGAACGCCATTCATGGACGTAACTGTTGAACCTTTGGTAATATAGGCCCATAGTGCTACATCTTTCCCCTCGAATTTTTCCCTAGTACGGTTTTTAAAATAGTTTTGTTCTTTTTTATATGGTTTTGTTTGTTGAGATTTTTTTTAGTATTTCTCTTTTCATTGGTAATCTTTCCTGAATCTCTGTATGAGTTTTGGTTTACATAAATTCCCAAGATGACTTAACACACTATGGAACACTAAGTTATGTATTTTATAAAAGAAGCAGCGTATTTACATTTTTTGTTTAATTTTAAATGTCTACACATGCCAGTGAAATTTTTGGAAAACCACTGAAGACCTGCAGCAAAAGACGAATCTACTTGAAAAGAAATTCCTTAGAAAACTAATGCACAGGAAATGAGATGCATCCTAGAAATACGAAGTAATAAAATAAATGTTTGATAACCGCTGTATGAATAGTTATAGGGTAAAGAAGAAAACGATATACTGAGCGCACTCTAAAGGGAAGTGGACAATGAATCACAAAAAGGCACTGAAATGAGCAACACGCATTAGAAACAAGGATGTCCGAAAGAAACCCTAAAACGAAATCTGATGTCATAGGTCAAACTTGCTCAACTGAATTTAATACATGATGGCGACAAAAACTTCACAGGACGAAACGGAAGGGAAGGATACACTATAAATCACATGTGAGGCAAAACGGTGCAACAGGATAATGATGATGATGATGATCGACAAGGATTTCCTAACAGTGATGACATTTCATAAGTGCTTTCCCCAACAGTAACCATAGATAAAGTAAACAGCACATTCTTTTCCTCATCGTATGCAATATTATATTTTAGACATGAAAAATGACTGGATAATTGGCGAGACCGTTGTTTTGTTTTTGTTTTTTTTTTGTCCTGTTTTCTGTTGATGATTGCTAATTCGTTACGTCCTTCTTAGGACGTGATTTTTTGTTATTCGAAGCCCCACTCTGGCTTTTGCCAGGGGCCGCAATATAGGCAGGCCATCAATATGGCCAATTGTCTGAACGCGGTTTCTAGGACCTCTCCACGGTGATCCTCATCCGCATGGTGGCACTTTGTGTCATCGGGTGTTTATCGCTTGTGTGATGTCCTGGTGGGGTAGAAAGTCAGTCAGTGTCCTGTTTTTTGCTTTTCTTAAGCAAAGAATCCGTCGCTACCCACCAACAAGTATCTAAAACAGATACCTGTAATCACAACAAAGTGTGCAATAAAATAGTGGTGACAAATATGATGTTCACAAACAATTTAGTTACTGCACTGTTGGGTACTGCAGAGAAATTGAAAAAAAAAAAACAGCTGGTAATAGGTTTAAATCTGTCTAATCTGTTTTGTTTTTATTTTCGAATGCAGAAAACAAGAGATGCAAAGTTCGAAATAGTAAGACATGGCTGACAGTGCTTCTGTTAGCGGTGTTCACTATTTTATTTGTTCATTCCGTAGGCGACCACGAGAGGGTAAGCACACGCTTGTCGTCTGCTCGACAACGTATCTGCAGACATGCAGACTCGGACTTCAACTGTTTACAGGAGGTCAGTGGAGCAATAGAAGAATTTTCCCACATAATCGAGGCTGAAACTGACACGGAAATGCGAGAGTTTCTATCATGGCGCCTGGTGGACCATCCAGAAGACACGGACAAGAGATCCAAGACGCTGACGACAAACAAGGAAATCGTAGAGGAAGCTCAGAGGATTCTGGTTAACCTAATGCAAGATCTTTTAGGCAAAGCCAAGAACGTGATGTTGATAGATATCCCTGTCCATGAAAACAAAGGCGACCCGGCCATAGCTGCCGGGGAAATTCTGCTGCTGGAAAAACTCAACAAAAGTATTGTTTTCCATTGTCAGACTCATGCATGCAATCGCAGTCTAGGTTTGAAGGAAGCAATCAAAGTCAACAGAAGATACCCAAATGGCGATTTAGTTATTCTTATGCATGGAGGTGGTAATATAATAGGCTACCCAGTAGTAGATCATCTTCGAAGGAAATACATTGAAGCTTTTCCTGACAGAAAAGTTATCATTTTCTCACAAAGCATCTGGCTTTATGGGAATTACTCTAAAGAACTAGAATTCGCTCGTGTGACTTATTCCAATCGTTCCAATTTGGTAATATTCCTACGTGATCGACAGTCTCTAGAAATAGCAAAGAACAATTTTAAGGGTGTTAAGCTAATTCTTGCACCGGATCTGGCTTTCTGTATCGGAATGATACCTCGACAAATGCCACCGTTATATGACATTATGTGGATACGAAGAGAAGACAACGAAAGTTCAAGTTATACTCTTCCAACAATTCCTCATAATATTACCGTTTTTGTGGGTGATTGGCTTCAGTGGCTGACTAATAAAAGCAACAAAACAGTGGAGGACGTCTTTCTAATAGCTTCTGCAGGATTCCATTTCCTGCTGAGAGGTAAAATTGTGGTCACAGATCGTTTGCATGGGCATATCTTGTCTACGTTGTTGAACATCCCACACGTGATCATAGACAATCCACCGTATTTAAAGTTATCCTCGTTTGATAAAACATGGACACAGAGTCTCAGCAACACCGTCTTAGTCTCTAACGGTTCTCTGGCTTTGGACGCGGCCCTGGAGTTACTCGAACGTTACCAGAAATCACTCCCTTCGATCCGTCACAGGCACATGTTTGCTGTCCGAAGTTTGACCTAGCCCAAAAAGGCATCAAAGACATATTGGGAAGTAAAGGTGGCAGGTGTTATCTTGGACACGTCACAAGTCGAGAACTGAATGGTCATTACATTGTGGATGTGGCACAATAGATTTCATACGACAATACCGTGATTAGGATACTCGTATATTTTTGTTTACAAGTATGTCATGGTTTAATCATTTGTGTCATGCAATTCAGATCTTATATGCTTGTTATATTATCCCATAATTTCAAACTTGTAATGTCTTCTGATATACTTTTTTTTTTTAAACAATTTTTTTAGCCACTTTGAACTTAAAGATAATATAATTTGGAAATTTAGAACTCAAATTCTACAGAACACAAGGTCTCTCGCCAGTTCTCTCGCCTCATGCACTTTCACACTCAAGGATTCACTTATATCCTATGCCCATCTTCGTGTCGGTCGGCCCCTGCGCCTCCTTCCTGGTACCATGCCCTCTGCTATCATTTATATTTATATATACTGGAGTATCATTGACCAAGAAGAAGGAAAACACTGATATCTCACAATATCAGCATCGAGGAGAATTGGCTTATTAACATCATCCTATCCAAAGCCGAGGTAGTTTGCGATGTTAAACGTTATGATGGCTTGCAGAGACAGAACCATGCAGCATACAGTTTCTGATAAACAATGCACAGGCTGACTTCGGCTAATGTGGATACATGTAATTAAAGAAATACTGGCAATGTAAGCACACAGGGCTGGACAACTGGCTAGTGAAAGAGAGACTTTCAGGCGTGCCTCGACAAGAGCGATGTTCAGTAAAATACCATCTGATCGACGACAATGGGCTCACACTTTAGCTGCTTTAAATTATAATTTCTTAGGATCACAGCAGTGAAACTTATCGCAGGCTGATACCGAATGACTTTAGAATTAGTTACGTAGGAAGCGACTTGAAGATAAACATCGGATGTGTGTGTTAGCAGCAAGTTTAATTTAACTCTGTCTTTTTCAGACGTTAGTTGTTTAACTCTTTTTCTCTGAGCAAATAATCGCATTTTCTGTACATAATGAGGAATTGTACTTTAAAACACTCTAAAGTATATTCTGTGTTGGATTAAAAAAAAAAAAAAAAACAGCAACAACAACTTAAGATTCATATACAGCCGAGCTTACATCTAGAATACAGTAAGTTAATGTCTTCTTCTTCTTCTTTGTAGCGTCCACCAATTCAAATTTGTATCGGAAAGTTGTTCATTAACTTTTTTATTTTAAGCCTTTTCCCAGTATACATTCGATCATCATTTCTAGATGCTTTATACACACACTTTTGTTTGTTTCCTCGTTTCTCAGGCAGAGTTGCTCCTGTTGCTTTTAACGATATGTGTAAGGAGCAGAGGATAGGTACTCTTTATCCCCCCCCCTCCCCTTCGATTGTGGATGAGAATAAGATAATAACTGGCTATGATAACAACAAGTGAATATAAGAGTTTCCCCACTCCACTGTTGCTATTACATGACTGGGCGGACAATGTTCTCCACTCCACTGCTGCTATTACATGAGTGGGCGGACAATGTTCTCCACTCCACTGTTGCTATTACATGACTGGGCGGACAATGTTCTCCACTCCACTGTAGCTATAACATGAGTGGGCGGACAATGTTCTCCACTCCACTGTTGCTATTACATGAGTGGGCGGACAATGTTTCCCACTCCACTGTAGCTATTACATGAGTGGGCGGACAATGTTCTCCACTCCACTGTAGCTATTACATGACTGGGCGGACAATGTTCTCCACTCCACTGTAGCTATTACATGAGTGGCCGGACAATGTTCACCACTCCTCTGTAGCTATTACATGACTGGGCGGATAATTCTAGCGGACTGTCTGAAAATATCATGGACAGCCTGTTAAATAATATCGCCTAAGAGTAACAATTCGAGAGTCTTTATGAATACAAGTAATACAAATCTGGGACAGAATGAGCGAAAATAACAAATGGGGAAGAGGTGAGAGCATAATAAAACAATAGAAAAACGAAATGTATATCATATATATATATATATATACCAAGAAGCAAAACAACATGAATTTTGTTTATATGGCCGAAGAGAACTTGCTCTCTAGCAGCATATTGTTATGAAAGCTGAGGTATTCCTAGGTAGAGGGAATGAAAACACAATGATGGAGAGTGGAGTTTTAGGTAAACAAGATCGAGGCCGGCATCTGTGAAAGTGTATACATTACATTGACGATGCGTCGGCTATGAAAGCGCACACTGCTGGATAATTGGCTGTAGGAAGAGATACCTACAGGTCACGAGACCAACGTTCTGTAAAGAACCAGCTGTCTGATAATGATGCCCCACGTATAATGTTGAATGCTGAATTAAGAGTCAACATCACAACATTCGGGACTTGGCATTAGCGCCAAGTCTCCATTTTTAGTAGCAAGTGCACAGTTACGAGTCGGACTGCACTATTACAAGCCTGAGTGTATATTCGTCACGTTCGACGCTGACATCAGTGCGAATTTTTTCGCCAGGGGTTTCCCCTTGCCACTGTTGCTGCTACGTGCTGATCCGTTTGTGCCGCTGCACTGTTCACTCGCTCCCGAAGGACCTTGGCAACATCTAGCTTGTCAGACATCAATATACCATCACCTTGTACCAAACCAGACAGTCTATCTGTCTGTTCGTTTCAGGACACACCGGTATGATCAAGAAAAAATACATAGAAGGGAAAAAACTATGATGTAACACCTTATCTATCCTACCTATACGTGCCACTGTATAAGCGTAGGCAGGGCGGTGTCTTTAGCCTACGGATTTACGGCCGCATGGTTAGGACAATCATCAGGAAATCCACAACGGAACGCTATCGTGTGGAAAGACAGAAGGCAGCCGACAACCTTCCTGGGCTGGATTGACATTAGAACCCATGTTAATTACCAACGTGTACTTAATACAATATGGACTCTAAATAATATATTTAAAAACTAAGTTGGGTAATTTAATAATTTAATGTTTATTTTGGATTTCTTTGTTTGTATTGGCGAGATTTTGCGTTCGACATTTTACTATTTCCAGGTACTCTTTAGTGTTGACATTCCCCACACACATGGTGTGTGGATGACAGAGCCTATTGTCAAAACATATTCCAATATTTTTTTGTTTTGATGACAGTATTTTATATAGCTAATGAATAAAATGTGTTTGTTTTTCAGGGAAAATAATTACTAGGAGATATTACTTCTTATTTTTTTTTTTTTTTATAACGTGCATTAAGGTCTACCTATTTTCTGATAAGGGCGTCGCTGTAGTGTTGGAGGCTAGACGCCTGTCTGCGAATCACAATGTCGTGGGTTCGCACCCTGACGTTGCCAGACATGTTTTCAAAAATGACATTGATTCGAGATTGACCTAGCCTTGAGTGGGTACCAGGTGCAGTGCAAGTGCCGATTGATCTATAACAAAATAGGTTTAGCCCTATATACCAAATACGCCTAAAGGCGCGGAAAAGGGTCCTTTACATTTTATAGAGTGCTACTGCTTTACATGCATGCTTTACTGATGACAGTGCATTATGTTTTGAACTCTAACTGAAACTGTCATGTCTTTTTTATACTTTTTTGTGTGTGTTTGTTTCGTATGTTTGATACGTAAAATGTGCGACCACTTTTGCCATTTGTTTATTGTTAATACTTTTTACTGATAAACCATCAGGGAAACTGATACCTCATCCCAATATGGGACGTAATTTTTTATTTTTATTTTGAAGCCCCACCGCGGCTGTTGTTGGGTGCCCTAAGATGACCTAACGATTGAAGGGGATTTCTAAGTCCTGACCCGGGTGATTCTTATCTTAACGTTAGCGTTTTGCGTCACCTGGTGTTTATCACTGTCGTGCGGTCCTAGTGAGGGCTGAACGTCAGTCAGTCATGGGTAATCTTCGTTTAGTCGACTGAAACACATTTGTTTTTAAAAATGGAATTGTGGGCTAACCACTTACGTCACGTCAACTACCTCTAAAAACAAACTACTGATTATTTACATGATACCATTCCTACCAGAGCTACTAAGGTATTTTGGAGATAGTACCAAATTTTCGTTTAAAGGGCCTAATATAAAAAATATATATATGCATATGTTTCTTTGTGTCTCTGTGTGTGTGTGTGTGTGTGTGTGTGTGCGCGCGCGCGCGTATGTATATGTATGTGAACTGGTTTGATTTATATTTTATCAAATGTCAAATTCTGTGCCGATTGTATCATTGAAATATCATTTTTTTTTAGCCCAGTCTGTTACAAAGCTGTTGTAGTATCTTCCAATTAGTGAAGTTAATATCCTGCTAATATTTACTTTTCTTTAACTGTATTTTTTTTTTCTAAGGAGTATTTTTTTTGGGTATCATTATCACTTCTGTCTGCGCTTACGACCTTGTGTTAATGCTCGCTCATATTGGAAACTTAAGCTCAAACAGCAGTTTTAAGAAGACCGGAGCCTTTATAAACGTCTCACCAAAATGTCACAAAATACTTCGAAATAAAACTGAACCAGAACATTTTGAGTAACAAATAAGCTAGAATTTAAAATTGCGACAAAAGACATTAAAGAGAGCCATCTGGTGAAAATATATTCCACAATTTTTGGTTTCGATGACCATTATTTTATATAGGCAATGAATGTAATATTTGTTTTCATGTGAAATAATGACTGTATTTTTTGTTGTTGTTGATAACATTGTATTTAGATCTACCTATTTCCCGATAAACTAAGGAGGACGATTTCTGTACATGCTTTATTGATGAATTATATTGTGTTTTAAACTGCAA